CACAGACCAACTTTTACCTGCTGTCTTAACAGTGCGTTTTAGAAAATACCGCAAATGGCGCGGTAAACGCCATCTGTAGTACGATGCTACATTTTAGGATTACGTATGCTCCAACAAGGTCCACTTGTGTGGATATCTACTTGCTGAAACGAATCCCGGCATAGCTAACCTCAACGTGATAGACAAGTTACCATAATCGAATAAAATAATTCGAAGTGGTCTGTATTAATTACCTTTGATTATAAAACAATATTATTGTAATTATACGACAATTAGTGCCCAATTTATTAATGAGTTTACAGTTATAAATTCAAAAAAATGTCTATCGAGGGCCTATACCTAATATAGAGGTATATAATTTTATATGCGGCCCGCGGAGTTATGATATATTTCCAAAGTGATCCGCAAGATCATTTGGGTTGGTCACCTCTTGTCCGAACCGTTAATGGTCAATCTATAAAAACAAACGGAAACATTCCAAAATCGATCATTTAATTGCATTGTGACACTTTTTACTTCTTTTTCACAGATCTATCACCATCTGTGAGTTGTCCAGCGCCTTTATTGACAGTGAACGGCACCGATGCGGGAAACTCCCGCCTCAATGCAGATTATCGACGCGTTAGAGAAGTTAAATTCTCTGGAGCTATTGGACCTCTGGGCGAGAAAAGATTGTGCAAGATCAAATGCATAGGAGGGCAGTGGGTAGGGCCCTTATGCCTTTCAGACGACCAAAAAGGTAAAGAGAAGCGAAACAGAATCTTGAAAGTTGATATTTTTATTTCAGGAAATTTTGAAGGCGCTTTTAATATCCATTTCGAATGTAGTTTTGTAAACACGATACACACTTATTTACCTACTGTTATACATTCCTAGAGTTAAAAAAAAACCGCAATCGTATTTTTTTTTAATTGCACTAGTTTACATGTTTGGAAAGAAATTGAACATAGTAACAGCGCAGCGTATAGAATTCTGTCTTTTACAGTTATTATATTGAATATTTATACTAGTTTAAGTCATTAAAATATTTACTTTTTCATGGGATTTTTGGCGAAGGGACTTCTAGAAACTTTCCATGGTTTTCTCCTAATATTCCTTAATCATCATCATAAGGTCGTCAGTCCTGACTGGTTGGACACGTACCTCCACTCTTTCCTATCCTGAGCTAAACTTCGCATTTCCCTAAAATTAGAACAGTCCACATCCTTAACTATTTGCGAACAGTTATCTAATCTAGGTCTACCTCTACCTCTCTTAACTGCTGTTTCTGCCCCTAATATGTCCCTGACCAGACCTTCATGCCTGAGAAGGTGTCCTACCAACCTATATTGCCTATTTTTTATTGACTTCCATAGAGTCCTCTCTTCTCCTATTCTTTGCAATACCTTTTCATTTCTAACCTTTTCTACCCACGTTATCCTCATCATCCACCTATAACACCACATTTCCATCGCTTCTAACCTTTTCTTTTCCGCCGTGCCCACTGTCCATGTTTCACACCCGTACAACGTCATGCTCCAAACATACACTTTCAACAACCTTTTTCGAATTTCTAAATTAACCGTTCGCGAGCATAGAAGTGACTTCTTTTTATTAAAGGCGACACGACCCTACGCTATCCTCTGCTTTATATCCATACTACTCCTTCCATCCTGACTTATCTGACTTCCTAGGTATCTAAAATCATCCACTTCTTCTAATTTTTCGTCTCCTATATTTATATTCACTCTTTCCCTACTTTTTCTTCCCTTGCATACTAGTATTTTAGTTTTACTTTGATTTATTTTCATACAGTACTGATCTGTCAGTTCCTTAATGAGTTTTATTATTTTGTAAATAGTCTGGTATGCGACTATAACACTAGATATACATATAATGTTACAAAGAAAGATAACGCATTATTTTTTTATTTATTTTTATATTGGATAGTGTTAATATTAGGAAAAAGATGGCCGGCTAAAAAAGATCTTAGTTTCATATTGTGAAATGATAAATCCATCAAACAAAATGGAAAACAGAAAATAAACTTTCATGAACAATGAAATCGTAAGCGTACCTTTACGAAAACCAAAAAGGGTTTCTTTTGAATTAACACCGCTTTTATGCTGGAGGCCTTCTGAATTTTTTGTCAACACTTCTTAGTATTCTCTGCGTCATTCTTAGATGTACAACAAACAAAAATACAAGGCGATTCAAAAATGTTATAGATTAGAAGCAAAGCATTAAATTTTTACTTAATAATGTTAATTAAAATTTAAATTCATGTATGTATATGTATCAGTTTTTTTAACTGGTTCACTTTTAGTTAATTCCAAGACATGGCTCTAGAGGAGAGTAAACTGACGAATTAAACGTAAGGTACGATGTGTACGCATTTAATTCTTACGTATAGGGGTAAAAGAGTTCGATGTAGCAGTAAAAAACTTAAGGAATAATAAGGCACCAAGTATAGATGGAATTAACAGTTGATAATATTATAGCTTTCCATCGAAAAGACGGATTAGCACTGTTATCCATACTAATTATTACGAACTCTCTTTGGTCTAAATCACTAAATAACTACAATCATACTTAAGATTGATGTGTCATCATTTTCGTATTTGATTGCTCGCATTTTAGTTGCTTTATTTTATTTAAGATTATTATTGGTTCAAAAATTTAAAATATATTCTCTATGGGCTCTTATTGTATACGTATATAGCTCATCCACAGCGATATGTAGATACCTAATAAGGGCTGAATTTGAGTACTTAGATACTGCATAATACTAGCTGTTACTAGTTACACATTTGAAGTTAATTGGAAACAAATAAAAAGGTTTTGTGATATTTTATGCGAAGATAGTTTAGGACTGTTCCAAAACAACAGCGTACTAAAGGATCGCATAAAAGTAATTGCAAATTAACGTTTTAACCCAGTTTCTAATACCCATTAAGACTCCGATATGCGGTCGTAAACAGTTTTGGCTACAGTTAATTCGTCTGCAGAACTTCAACAGCTCTTAGCAAAACAACCGTAACACCTCTGCAATTAGTAGATTTATCTACGTATATATATCCGCATATTTTAAATCAGATACGTGTTCATCACAAACAGCACAACATTCATATTAATTTCATCATTCAAAATACTAATATTGTGAACCCAGATTAGGAGGCGCCCTTGCAGATTCTTTTAGTATTTTTTTGATCATCCCAACTTCTAACAATATATCTATTTTCAAATAAAGCAAGTGATATATAAGAAATTAAAGTACTGACTTTATTAGTATTACAATTTATTTGCAGCAATTATATTATCGTTCGTTAGATTCAAATCTTTTCGCCAAATACGCACGTTAATTACGATGATTGATTGGATTCTCATTAAAAAGTATTCTTTCCTGTCAATACAGTTATTACATTGATTAATTATTTTCTGTTGACATTATAGATCACAGGTTGTGTAATCTTTATAAATAATCCATTTTTAATCAATTCATCATCATCATCATCATCATAGGGTCGTCAGTCCTAAGACTGGTTGGACACGTACCTCCACTCTTTCCTATCCTGAGCTAATCTTCGCATTTCCCTAAAACTAGAACAACCCACATCCTTAACTATTTGCGAACAGTAATCTAATCTAGGTCTACCTCTACCCCTCCTAACTCCTGTTTCTGCCTCTAATATGTCTCTGACTAGACCTTCATGCCTGAGAAGGTGTCCTACCAACCTATCTCGCCTATTTTTTATTGACTTCCATAGAGTCCTCTGTTCTCCTATTCTTTCAAATACCTCATCATTTCTAACCTTCTCTATCCACGGTATTCTCATCATTCGTTTGTAACACCACATTTCGAAGGCTTCTAACCTTTTCTTTTCCGCCGCGCCCACTGTCCATGTTTCGCACCCGTACAGTGCCGTGCTCCAAACATACACCTTTAACAATCTTTTTTCGAATTTCTTAATTAACCGTTCGCGAGCATAGAAGTGACTTCTTCTTATTAAAGGCGTTTCTGTCAACTATTAATCAAAATAAATTCACTCATGTTTAGTTTAAATATTTCTTATTAGTAATAATATCCTTCCTCTGGAAATAATATCTTAACATATCGTTATTAGTCGTTACTATTATTATTGGCTTTTAGTACTTATTCTTAGTTTCCAGTATTATTTCAATTCATATCAATTAAAAAATTAGTGTTATAAAGACGGAGCCCCCTTAAAGACGGCACTACCTTTTACTTCCACTACACCCTCTGTCACATCCTACATTTCAACCACAGCTTCTTTCCATTTTTTCAATCATTTTCATTGATTGCTATAATTGTCATAAGGTTTTTCTTATTCCTACGTTCCATGTGGACATAATGTTACATCCTCTGAATCGTTGTGACCAAGCTGTAAATTTTGTTTGGAAAATTTTCCGATTAATGTTAATGTTTTGTAACCACGAGCATATTGCAAAAACTTTTTAGGACGTTTAGAAAAAAAGAAAACCCTATATCAACTGTTTCGTCGTTTCTTAAATGTGCGATTACAAGCCCCTTTTTACCGCTTTTTATGTAGAATTTAATTCATTTGGTCGTTTCTGAAAAAATCAATTAGAAATGTGTGAAACCTGAAAACCACCCTTATGGAGTATCTATCAACTTCGGAGCTTACTTTCATCCCTTAAATACATTTTTCCGCAAAAAATACGTTTCTCACCGTTTTTGATATAAATTAATATATTTCAACCGCAACTAAATCGGTGGCGGTCACCACCCAAGGTTTTCTTGGTGAACGTTAACTAGGTACCTATTACTATTGCATGTTAGTCACATGTAAATCCGCCCTTATACTTAAAACAGTCACGAATTATTAACTTAATATGTAGTACTCATTTTATTAAAACAAGGGAATAAGAAAACTTGGTGGTATTTTAAATAAACTTCTTTTTCAAGTTTAATTTACGGATCGCCTCGCTTTCGAATGAGCTTGCTACTCTTGGGAAATTATATTTACTTTTTTCCTCATATCTCTATCATAAATGAACAACGAATCCGCTTAGAATAATTCATAAAGAGCACTGAGAAGCATTACACGTTTCAAGCACTAATGCAAATATTCATGTTGTAGTCAGCTCTGCCAGACATTTAACTGCTAGTTCAACCTTCACAATAAAATGAGTCAAAGTAGACGTTTTTAATTTCTTATCGCAAGCGTCAAGTGACGAAACACTCATACCTACTCGTTTCCTTCGCAACAGTTGGTACACAGACAGGTCAGTTGCACGTGTGACGATAGGTTACTGCTATGGGGAAGATTGTAGGAATAGAGGGCGCTACAAGTATGATCCATTTACATTTAATTCTGTTTAAGGTTAAGCAGGTTAAATAATTTATTATTAAGGAATCATTCGTACTTTTCGTCCTGTGCAATGTATTGTATATTGAAGGGAGAATTGAAAAGGAGATGCGCGTGCTGTAGGGACAGAAAGGCAGACCTTGTAGAAGGGTTAGTAAAACCACTTCAATATGTGTAATTTTTTCAAAGGTTTTCGATTAAAGTCACAGTAATAATGCTGTAAATATTAATCTGCTTCTCCTATTGCCTGCTGCGAAAATTCATCTCATAGTTTTACGGATATTTTTTTCAATTGGTAGCTTATGAAAGAAATTTTAACTTCCTTGACAAATTGCATTCCTAGAGCAAGATGAAGTTGTGTTCATACCACATAAGCAGTTGTACAGAGACATTAACAGTAGCACTCCTT